CAATCCTGAGCCTCCTTCCTCCCGCTCTCACTGGCCCTCTTCTCCCCAGACCTCAGGAGAAAGTTTGGTTCATTTAGAAGGTAGACATAGTTGGTTCTTAAGAAGGGAATGGGCCACAAGGAAAGAGAGACCCTAGTTGAACCCCTAGCAATCTCCCCCTCACCCCAGCTTTTCTGGGGAGCCCCAGCCCCTCACTTCCAGTCTGCCTGTTTCCCTTTCCTCCTAACCCAATGCCACCCGCAGACACCCCAACTGCACACTGCCCAGCAGATGCCCTCATACATGGAGCCTGGGGCCCACACTCAACGGAAGTCACCTCCCAAGTGCAGACCATCCGGGCCCGCAAAGCTGTTGGGACAGCCGGCACAGCATCGGGGGGTTCTGCCCCTGATGCAAATCCAGAGCCAGATGTCTAGAGACACGCTCGCTCTGGAGTGAGGCATTGCAGCCTAAGGGGCTGACTATCACCAGGCCACCCCCACAGAACCCCCAACTCTACCCAGCTGGGCCCAAGGGCAAAGGGATAGCTCAGCCCCAAACTGGCCTGCTAGAGGGGGGTCAGGGAAGGCAGCGGTAGTCTTAGGAGGGTATCTTGGGTTTTATGAAGGCATTCCACACATTCTGTCGCAGGAAATGTTTAATTCTGCATGTTTTCCTCTCCTTCCAACAAAAGGAGGTCAACCCGTGGGTCGTAAACCTTGACCATGTTGTCCATCCTCCATTCCTCTGTGTCCCGCTTGTCTGAGACTGTAGCTCCTCTCGCTCTCCACCGGCCCTGCATCTTTCCGCATCCCCCCAGCTCCCAAACCAACCCTGGCTGGCCAAACCCACCTTGCACCAGCGAGCCAAGCCGCCCCTCGTAGGAAACCCTCCGCCCTCCACCCCTGCAGGCCCGCCCTGCCTGGGGCAGGAAAGCCGGGCGAGAGTCCCCCGGAGAATTGATTGAGAATCGATTCCTGAGCGCCCTTCCCGGAGAAGCTGCGGCGGATAAGGAGGGGCAAAGGTTCCGGCGCATGCCCCCCCCATCCTGCCCAGGTCCGGACCCCCTCGGAGGAGCCGCAGGAATTGGCGGCTGCTGCCGGGGCGCAGAGAGAGCCCGGCCCGGCGCCCGCCGCTCTGCGACCCGCTCCGCCCGGAGGGCGACCTGCACGGCTGCTTCACGCGCGCAGGCTTCTGCGGACCCGTCCCGCGTGCAAAGGAGAAGGCGGAATGGCACCTAAGCTTCAGGCCGAAGCTTCTTCCTCTCTCCTTCTCTTCCGCCCTCCTTCCCCCACCTCTCCGATCCCCTCAATTCCATGGACTCTTGCTTCTGCGCCTCCCGCCCTTGCAAGGGGACCTTCCAGTAGAGCTTTTTTTTCTTTTTCTTTGTCAGTGGCTGTGAAATTGTGCTGTGTTTTGTGATTTCTTTGGGGGGGGGGTGATCGTCTCGCCTGTTTTCAGTTGTCTCTTATAGGGGAGGGTGGCGGGTGGGAGTGGGGAGGGGAAGGGGCCTAGAGCTCGGATTGTTTTGGAAGAAAACAAAAAAGAAAAAAGAACAAAAAAATATATATCACTCTAGAAAATAAACCTGCTCGTGTCTTATTCTGCGTTGGCTCCTCTCGGAAAAGAAGGAAGTTTCTCCTTAGACCGGGCAGAGCTGAGAGCTGGCCTGCACCCAAGGGCCCAAGACCAGGAGCCTTTCCCGGGAGGGCTGGGGCCCGGGAGGGCAGGAGAGGGAGGAGGAGCGGTGTGGAGAGGGGTCTGGTCTTGCTTCCTCCAAAGTGGTCCCAGGCCAGGGACCTCCCTCAAATTCCAGAGCCGGAGGGAGGGCGAGGCCGGGCCCTGTGGCTCCTGGAAGCAGCCCCGCTCCCAGCCGCCCGAGAATGTCGCCGTGGTTTGGTCCCTTTAAAACCTCCTGCCAGCCAGGAAGGCAGGGACTTCCGCCTGCCGGCCCCGAGCAGCCGGAGGAACTGGTCAGGCAGAGAGGCCGCGGGGAGGCTGAGCCCTCCCGTCTTCCGTTCGAGGGGATCAAACCCCTGCGGGGGCTCGGTTCCCTCCTGGGATCGGAGGCTCCACTTTGAGCCAAAGGGAGCTCCTTGGTATGAAGCGGGTGGAGGCTGGGAGGGGCGGCGACCTGGGCAGGCAGCTCCCGGCGGTGAGAGAGAGGATTGAAAGTGGAACAGAATTGTCTCCGGAGAGAGAAAAAAATCCCTTTCCGATCAGACCCCAGAAGTACGTGCTGGGGGGAGACGCACCTCCCTGTCCCTCTCGGACGGCGGTGTCCCCACCAGCGCCCCTTTGGAGGCAGCGCGGCCCTCCGCACCCGCACCCAGGCCTGGGGACTGGGCTCTACGGCGCTGGTGCCGGGGAACCCGCCTCCCCCGAGCCTCCCGCCGGGCCACCGCAGCCCGGGGCGCCTGCCAGGACCCTCAGGGTTGGGGGTAGACGTGGGGACAAAGCGTAACCTGCGTGAAAGGGTCCTGGCGGGGAGAGGCCAGGCCTACCCCTGTCCAGCGAACAAAGGGATGCCCTCATCAGACAGCTAGCGGGAGGCGGGAGGGAACCAAGCTCCTGGCACCCGCCTGGTCCAGGGGTTCCATTCGGATTATAGAAGGGATCTGGCTTTGGGGTTTGTGTAGTCCGGGCTCCCTCCTCTTCCTCCCGGGCTCCCCGGAGTCCGCCGGGGCTGGGGGTGAGCGGAGGAGGCCGGTGCCGCCCGGAGGACGCGCGGGGAGCAGCGGAGGCTGCGGGGTTGGGGGCCAAGCCTCGGGCGACGCGGCGTCCTCCGCGGCGGTGCTGGCTTCTCTGCAGACAGACAAAGGCGAGGAGGCTGCGGAGCCCGGAGCCGGAGCCGGGAGCCGGAGATGGGAGATCCGCGGCCATAAAAGAAATCGAGAGACTCGGAGGGGAAGAGCGCGGAGAGTGCCAGACAGAGAAGCCGGGAGAGGCATTCAATGCCGTGCGCGCAGCCATAAAAGAATATGACCGCTATAAAAGTTTATAGCGTATAAATTTCTGAAGGTTAAGAAACTAAACAGCAGCAAAGCAAACAGTGAGGGGAAACTTTCCGGAGCTGAGAGAGCCGCAGCTGGGCCTGGGCTCCAGGCCTGGCGGGGGGTTGGGGGCTTGGGGGGAGGCGGGAGGTAGGAGGGGGCACCGGGCCCCAAGCCCCCCCTTCCCCGCCCAGTACCAGGTTTGAGGTTTCCGGGGGCCCAAGGGGCAAAGAGGGAAGAAGAGGGAAGGGAGAGAGAAAAACACTTTGTTGTCACCAATGCTTTAGAGAACGCAGTTGGACTCTAGTCTTTGTTCTTCACCCCCCCCCCCCCCCCGCAACCCTCCAGAATCGGACGTCATAAAGAAGCCCCCTGCGCGTACACACACACACACACACACACACACACACACACGTCCAGCAGGGCCAGACGTCTGGGTGCGGGCAGCCTCTTGTTCCTTTTACAGTCCCCTTCCACCCTCTCGGGCCTCCTTTCCCCCCCACAAAAAGCCCAATTGTTTCTTCTCGGGACTCGAAACAGTCGTGTTAGGTTTGAAAAGTGCTCGACTCCCCCTTTTACGGGCCATAAACGGCTCGCTGCTGGGCGGGCTCCACCAGAATTTCGGGTCTTTCTTGAAATGGGGGATTGGTGTCAGCCGTGGCTTTCCTTTTTTTTTTTCTTCCCCACCCTGCGTTTTTTGGTGTATTTGTTTTTAGCTTATCTGCACAATTCGACGAACCACGGTCTGATTTCCGATCCCTTTCCTCTCCCCCCCACCCCCCTCCTTTCTGCCAATAACGAAAGTTTCTCCTGGCTTCTGGCCGGGGCTGGCTGGCTGGCAGAGAAGCTGGCCGAGCCGGTGGCGGCGGCGCCTTTTCTCGGGGCGGCCGCTAGATGGCAGCCTTGCTCCACGTGAGAAGCCCCGGCGCGGCGGCCGCGGGCGCCGGCGGCTGCACTTCGCACCTTCGGGTGGGCCCTGAATCTCCGAGCTGAGCGCTGCAGAAAGTCATGAATAATTTGTGCGTAATAAAAATATAGGGTTCATTACGGCCATTTCCCCCCATTTTATAGATTTCAGATGTCCTGATGCTGCTCCCCCCTCAAATGGTCAATGTTACGCATGTCCCCCAGGAGGAGGGCTCAGGGCTTCTCTTCCCCCCAGTTTCTGTTCCGTGGGGCAACACACGCAAATAGTAATGGTGGGAGTCGTAGTAGTAATAATAATAACAATAATGGGAATGATGGGTGTAAGGAAAAGAGAAATGGTTCGGGAAAACGGGAGTTTTCCGGGGAGGGGAGCCACAGGAATGCCTTCGGATGCGGGTGAGCGAGTCAGGTGAGCGGGAGAGGCGGCAGGGGAAGGAAGGTCAGATGGAGAGGAAGCTTCGGGAACTCCGCCGCCAGATCCGCAGGAGAGGGACCTGGGTGAGCCAGCCCCGGAGGGGAGGTGGGAAGCCGCGGATGGAGGGGGGACAGTTTTTTTGGGGAAACGGATTCATGTCTCTGGTGGGATTGGAGGAGCCCCTAGCCGGCGAGGTGGGCTCCGCAGGGACGGAGGTTCCAGGAGCCTTTATAGGTGTCAGGGTGTGGGCCGGGCGCCGCCGGGTCCAGCCGGGAGTGGGGCGGGGACTCCCCGAATCGGCGAGGTGCGGAAGGCTGCCTGGTTTCGCCCGGAAAACGTGCGGGGCGGCCCGGAGCAGCCGCTCGGTGTAACCCGGGTCCGAGGTTTCCAGGTGCGAGCTCGGGGCTCGGGCTCGGGGCTCAGACGTGGGGGGCGCGGGTCCCTTCGCCATGGAGCAGCTGGAGGCCTGGGCTCCGGGTGCTTCTCCTTCTGAGCTCCGTGCACCGTCTGCCCATAGACCCTTCGATCCCAAATCTCCTATTTCCCCGGCCCCAGCCCGACCCGCGCCCTCCTGGGGACCAGCCTGCGGGAGAAGGAGACCCCCTCCTCCCTGAAAAGAAGCGAGCGGAGTTTCTCAACTCGGGTTTCTCTAATAAATCTGCGCTCCGCTGGGTGTTTATAAATTATCTCCTTGCTCCTTCTTGTTGCGTGTTTTTTTTTTTTCCTTCTTATAACAGAAACATTTTCCTTCCATCAGGAATCTCTGGCGCGGTGTAGGGATGATTTAGAACAAGTCATTGGATTTCTACCTCACCGGTGAGTCCTCACACCGTGACCATAAAACCCACCCCCGCCCCCCGCGTTTGATAAAAATGTTGTTTCTTCGGCAACAACTTAACTCTCTCTCTGGCTTCCACCGCCTGCCTCGCCGCCGACACTTTTCCTTCCTCTTCTCCGTCCTCTCCCCCTGGCAGCCCCGCTCCCATTCTCCCGATTCACCTTCGAGGGGCCCCGGGGCCCCCAGGGTCACTTCCCCTGAGAAAGGCGATGGTTTGATTTTTACGAAGGTTGGGATCCCCGAAATACATAGCAAACCCCTCTCCTGAATAGACAACGGATGGAATGTATTCCTAAAACCTCCACTTTTGTTGCTAGAAAATGTCTCTTCTCTCTCTCTCTCTCTCTCTCTCTCTCTCTCTCTCTCTTCCTTCTTTCTTCCCTTCCCTTCCCTTCCCTCAGCCAGTGAGCCCCTCCCCAGCCCATCGCTGCAGAGCCTCAGACCAGGGCCTGCTGACGCCTGGCCACCAGCGTCACCAGGCCTGGCAGGCCCGGCAAGGCCACCCGCCTACGGGGATGGCACCGAGTCAGTTCGGCTCTGCTGCCGTCCATATTCCAGGCCCCAGGTCCTCAGGTCTGGAGGGAAAGCCAAGCCCCAACAGGGGGACCACATCAAAATCCCCTCTACTCCAAGGTCAGCCGAGGCAGTGACAGTGGCTCACAGGGTGCTGGAAGCTAAAAGGTACCCCCTTCAAACACTCCCTCTGCAGCCAAGGCCTAGCTAGGGCCCAGGAGGGCACAGGGCAGTGGCATCAAGGCCGAGTGCCAGGGCCTGGCACCCAGCAGCGGCTCCAGCGCCCTCTGCTCCCTTTGATGTGCTGATAGGCTTGGAGGTGCCCTCTGCCCCAGGGTGCTGGGAAGGTTGGGAGGCCACTGGGCCTGGTTCCTAGGTCCCCAGGCCTGCGTGCAGGAACGAGGCAACCCAACTAAGTGGCATCCTGCGGGTGGCATCAGGCTCCTCTCCCATCGCAGGAAGTGGGCCCCCCAAAGCCCTGACTGGGCCCAAGTGTCTTCTAGAGACTTCCTCCCCATTCCAAACGTCCCCCCCCTCCCCAGGCTGTGCAAAACCTGCCCAATCCTCAGTTTACGGGGAACTTTGCTCGTTCCCACTCACCAGAAAGTTTCTTCTCCCTGTCCCAACCCTCCTCACCCTCTCCCAGACCCCTTCCCCCCAAAAAGCCTGGCTAGCGTGCTGAATAGGGAAAGGCTGGTGAGCGGTCTGGAGGTGCCAGAGGGGGTGGTGGTCTGGGGGCTCCAGAGAGGGGGGTGGGAACAGGTACTCTCCGCAGCTGAAGGAGGCCAAAAAATCCCCGAAAAGCCACCGTTTGCACCGAAAAAAAATATAAAACCACCCCTAATCATTTTCATTTCGGCGTTGCCACCCCCGCGGAGCGCAGCCGGGCGGCGGGCCGTGGAAGCTGCAGTTTTATAGCTGTGGAGGAAAGGACTCGTAAAATGCTAACAGCTTTTATGCGCTGCGGCATAAACAACAACAGACTCCGGCTTTATGGCGTTTTATAGTTTGTTAAAGAGTTTACAGGCGGTTCTGTTGGGGGGGGGGGTACCCAGCCAATTCCCTCCGCACGACGGTTAAACCTTTATCAATAATAAGGAAATTGATCATTAAAGCTTTAAAGATGACTACCTCGTTTGTCGGGGAAATATGTTTAGGGGAGGAAGCCGTATGATTTGATAACTTGTATTAAAATACCAATTACATTTATCGGACCTTTTAAAACTCGGCGCAATTAAGCCGTGTTCTTTTTACATTTTTTCCGAAGCGACCCTGACATTTCAAAAGACTCCAACTGCCTCGTTAAAAATCGCGAAATTAACAGCGTTGCCTGCGTCTGGCGCCTCCGCTCTCTGAGTGTGCGTGGTTGTGTAGGGTTGGTTGTGTTTTTTTTTGTTTTTTCGTGACGCCCCCACACCAGCCTTTGGGGGTGGTCTGCGAAGGTATTTGATTTGTTGCGAGGGGAGAGAGATCTCATTAATGTAGGTAGTTAAACAGATTTAATCCGTATTCATTCTCTCTCCCCCTCTCCCTCTCCCCCCCCTCTCCCTCCCCCCTCTCTCTGGGTGTTTTTTTCCCCTTCCCCTCCTCCTCCCCCCCTCGCGCTCTCCTCACTCCCTGGCGCTCGCTCGCTCTAGCTCTCTCGCTCGCTCGCTCTCTCGCTCTCACCCTCGTTCTGCGTTCTGTCCGGGAGGAGTACCGAGAAGCCAATAGGATGCGTGGTCTCTAATGGATGCAAATGATCATGAAAAGACAGTGCAAAATATGAAACAACTCATTTGCAGGGGAGTAAATCACCGAAAACTGTTTATGAACTGGCATCCTTTCTTCGAAATGTAAAGCGAGGACCTCCGAACGCGGCGGTATATTTTTGTTTGGGGGGTGGGGGGTGGGGGGAGGGCGAGCGAGCCGGCTGCCATGCGAGCGTAGACTTTCGGAGGCTCCGCCGGCCCTTCTGTTCCTGGAAATCACCAAAAAGTGCGGCGGCTCCGGGATCGTCTTCGCCTTTTTTCCTTTCTTTCCTTTTTTCCCCCTCCTCCCTTCCCCTCTCCTTTCCTGGCGAGGGAGGCTAGGAGCCGGCGAATCCGCGTTTTTTTTTCTTCTCTCTCTCTCTCTCTCTCCTCTCTCTCTCCCTCCCTCTCCCCCTCCCCGCCCCCTCCCCACCAGCCCCCAACTACAGCCGCCGCCGTCGCCGCCGCCGCCTCAAAATTCAATAAAATGAGCTCTTATTTCGTCAACTCACTGTTCTCCAAGTACAAAACCGGGGAGTCCCTGCGCCCCAATTACTATGACTGCGGCTTCGCCCAGGACCTGGGCGGCCGGCCCACCGTGGTGTACGGCCCGAGCGGCGGCGGCGGCTTCCAGCACCCGTCGCAGCTGCAGGAGTTCTACCACGGCCCGTCGTCGCTGTCCTCGGCGCCCTACCAGCAGAACCCGTGCGCCGTGGCCTGCCACGGGGACCCCGGCAACTTCTACGGCTACGACCCGCTGCAGCGCCAGAGCCTGTTCGGCGCGCAGGACCCGGACCTGGTGCAGTACGCCGACTGCAAGCTCGCCGCCGCCAGCGGCCTGGGCGAGGAGGCCGAGGGCGCCGAGCAGAGCCCGTCGCCCACCCAGCTCTTCCCCTGGATGCGCCCGCAAGGTGAGCGCGGGCCGGAGCCCCGAGGCCCCGAGGCCGGGCAGGGTCCGGGCAGGCCGGGGGGTGCTCCCTCCGGCTCCTGGGAGCCGCGCCTGCCGCCTGCAGAGGGTCTCCCCCTGCTTTCCTTCCTCCCCTTCTTCCTCTTTCTTTCTCTCTCTCTGTCTTTCTCTCGCTTTTTCTTATCTCCCCCCCCCCTTTTTTTGTTTGTTTCCCTTGAAGGAGGGTCGCTAAGAGACATTTCCTGAATCCATAAAACCCCTCACCCGGCCTGACTTTTCTTCTTCTTCTCCTTCTCCCCCTGCCTTCCCCGCTTTTACTGTTTTATGGGGGGTAGTGGAGAGAGGGTGGTGGGAGTGGGGGGCGCTCAACTTTTGCACTTCTCAATTGCTTTATAGTTTAATTGCCCTGAAGAAACTTTTCTTCTGGGGCAAAGGCGCTGGGGGCTTTTCAAGGTGGGTCCATTCGTCCCCAGCCTGGCATTTTTATTCTTATTCTTCCCCCCCCCCTCACATCCTTCCTTCTAAAGTTTATGGCACTTTTCATGGATTGGAGCCTCTTGGATGCTTGTTACTAGGGGAGATGGCTCCCCCTTTTTCTGGCTCCCTTAAATTCAGTGGTGTCTGATGCCCCTCACCCCCCACCCCCGCCCCCACCTCCAGCTGACCGCGGCCTCCTAGCGCCCCCTCCCCCGCGCCGGGTGGAAGGTCCCCCTGCCCTGACTTATTCTACTGGTCTCCCAGGCTGGTTGTTCACGAATCTTCCAAACCTTCCCCGTCTCCGTCCCCTCCCCCACCCTCCCCTTCCCCCCGTCTCGCCCTTTCCCCCCCTCCCAGCAGCCGCCGGACGCAGGCGAGGCCGCCAGACCTACAGCCGCTACCAGACGCTGGAGCTGGAGAAGGAGTTCCTGTTCAACCCCTATCTGACCCGCAAGCGGCGGATCGAGGTGTCGCACGCGCTGGGACTGACGGAGAGACAGGTCAAAATCTGGTTCCAGAACCGGAGGATGAAGTGGAAAAAGGAGAACAACAAAGACAAGTTCCCCAGCAGCAAATGCGAGCAGGAGGAGCTGGAGAAGCAGAAGCTGGAGCGGGCGCCGGAGGCGGCGGAGGAGGGCGACGCGCAGAAGGCCGACAAGAAGTAGGGGCTCCCTCCGCCTGGGACTGCCAGGGCCGCGGCCGCCCTCCGCCCTCCGCCCGCCGGTCCCCCCCGACCGGCCGACCGCGCCGCCGTCCACCGCCCGCCCGCCGCCCGCCCGCGAGCTCCGGTCCCGCGAGCGGGGCCCGGAGCCCGGCCTCCCGCCGCAGCGTCCCCGCCGCCAGTCCCGCTAGTGGTAGATTCTGTAATAGCTTCTGTGTGTGAGCTGCCGTGGACCCTTCCCTGCCGGGCCGGGGGGAGACAGGACTGAGAGCAAGGACGCCCTCGCCCAGCGAGGGTGAGCGGTGGCCGCCGGCTGAGCCCCCTCCCGCGCCCCCGCCCCGTGTACAGAGCCTCCTTGTGCAATGAGCCCCTTCCTCTGACCGTGCTTCCTTGTAACGACCGAGGTACCGATCTCTGCTAAGTTCTCCCAACAACATGAAACTGCCTATTCACGCCGTAATTCTTTCTGTCTCCCCTCCCACTCTCTCTTTCTCTCTCTCTTTCTCTTTCTCTCTTTGCCCCCCCCTCTCCCCCCAATCCTCCTTCCTCATTTCCTCCTCCCACCTTCCCTGGCCCCGCAGCCCCTACCTAGCTCGCTGGCTTTCTCTCTCTCTGGCTTCTCTCTTTCCTCCCCCCCCCCCTTCTTTGATTTGACAATTTCGTCTTAAGTGTTTCTCAAAAGAGGTTACTTTAGTTAGCATGCGCGCTGTGGGCAATTGTTAAAAGTGTTCCTAGGTTTACTGTGAAGAGAATGTATCCTGTATCCGTGAATTGCTTTATTGGGGGGAGGGAGGGGAGGGGAGGGCTAATTATATATTTTGTTGTTCCTCTCTACTTTGTTCTGTTGTCTGCGCCTTGAAAAGGGCGGAAGAGTTACAATAAAGTTTACAAGCAGGAACCCGAGAGGGACCGGCGGGCCTCGCTCTCTCCTCCTTTGCTCCGGGCGCCGTGCAGAGCCGGGCGGGGAGCGGTGCCCCGGCCCCTGCGCCCGCCGGCCCGGGCGCGGAGGCGGGGCGGGGGCTGGAGGCAGGTGGTGCGAGTCCCTCGACCCAGGGGCGCGGGGGGCGAGGGAGGCGGCTGCCGCCTGATTGGAGGAGAGAGGAGGAGGGAGGGGAGCCGAGAGGAACCCCCACCCTTTGCGTTCCGAGACTGCGTGGCCCTGGAGACCCCGGGCCTGGCCAGGCAGGAGGGATGCGCCCGGGCTGGTGGCTGCGTCCTCGCCACCTTCTTTGTTTCTCTGTGCCCTCGTGTGTGTGTGTGTGTGTGTGTGTGTGTGTGTGTGTGGAGGGGAGGGGGCGCAGGAGGAGTGCAGGGCTACTGAACGAGCTTGAATATTTTTATTTTTCCGGACTCTGATGGAGGGGGGAGCCGGGGGAGCAGGGAGATGCTCCTGCCCGCCTCCCCCTCGCTGGGACCGGGCCCCCAGGCCCAGCTCCGAGGTCTTGGCTCGCCGCCTTCCTTCCTTCGCTCCCTCGGCTTCTCCGGCGGCGGCGGCCGGGCAGGCGCTGGACGCAGGCATCCGCCTCCCGGAACCAGAAGAGCAGTGCACCGGGCCGCCCTCCTCCCTTCCTCTCTCTCCCCACCCACCCGCCCTCTTCCTTTAAAAACATTTTTTTTAAAAAATTTCAAACCCTTTTTTGCTTTAAGCCACCAGAAAACGCAGCACCCAACGCCGTGGGCTGGATCCGGCGCCCCAAGGAACAGCCACGGAGTCTGGCTCCGTCCCTGCCCTAGGTCCGGGCGCCAGGCTCCCCCCTCCCCGCTCCTCACTCAGGGGGACCGGGCTGAGTCCCTCCCCAAAGCCTAAGGCCCAGCCAGGCCGGCCTGGTCCGGATTCATAAAGACCTGACCCGCCCACACCCACCCGCCCCGTGGCGTGCGGTCCCCGCGTTTGTTTCCCGCTGGGCAGCGGCCTGGGAAGGAAGGGGGGGGGGGGTGGAGGGCCGACACCGCGGGAGGCTCCGAGGTTATTTATTTCCCGGCCATCAGCGCCTTTCTCCCCGGATCCCGCCTCCCGGCCAGCGGCCTCCCGGCCCACGGGGGCCGACCGCGGCCCCGGGGCCCCCGGCCCCGATCCGCAGGGCCCGTCTCCCCCCCACCCATTCATTATTGATCATATTTTATATAAATCCAACGCCACACAATTTTTTCCCCATTACCGGAGCCGTGGGGAGGCGGCCCGGCCATTGGCGGAGGGCGCGTCACGTGGGCGGGGTCACGTGGCCCCGGGGAGGAAAAAAAAGGGGGTCCTTTTTGGTGTAAATCTGGACTCTAATTCCGTAATATATCAAGGAATCTCGTAAAACCGACACTAAAACGCCCCTGCCTACAAATCATCCGGCCAAATTATGAGTTCATTGTATTATGCGAACGCTTTATTTTCCAAATATCCGGCCGCAGGTTCGGTGTTCGCCGCCGGCGCCTTCCCCGAACAAACTTCGTGCGCGTTCGCCGCCAGCCCGCAGCGGCCGGGCTATGGCGCGGGCTCCGGCGCCCCCTTCGCCGCCGCCTCGGTGCCCGGCCTGTACCCCGGCGGCGGGGGGGGCCTGGCGGGCCAGGGCGCCGCCGCCGGCGTCTACGCGGCCGGCTACGGGCTCGAGCCGGGCTCCTTCAACATGCACTGCGCGCCCTTCGAGCAGAGCCTCTCCGGGGGGTGTCCCGGCGAGGCCGCCAAGGAGCAGAGGGACGCGGACTTGGCGGCAGAGAGTAACTTCCGGATCTACCCCTGGATGCGAAGCTCAGGTAACGCCGCGCACCGAGCCGCCCCAGCCGCAGGGGCCCGGGCACAGGCCCCGGGAGGCGCCCCCTTCCCGGCCCAGCGCCCCTGTCCGCGTCCACAGGGCTCCCCGCCCCCCGGCCCGGCAGGAGGTGGGCCCTGGGGACGCGGCACCCCCCTTGGCCGCGACCCGGCGCGCCGCCTGCACCCCAGTTTTGCTGGGCGCCCTCGGGCTCCTCGCTCTGCTCCCGGGCGGCTCGCTCTCTCTCCGCCAACAGCTCAGCGCTCAGCGCTCGGATCCCCCAGCTCGTCCCCCACCCTCGCTCTCAGCCTTTTAGCTTTAAATATTTATCAGCCGCGCCCGCAAAGGCCGGAGAAGAGGCCGTTTGTCTTGCGGAGGAAGGCTGGGGTTTGCAGAGAATAGCCATTAGGGTTCTCCCCCCCCCCCCCGCCCCTCTCCATCCCCCCTTACCCCCGCTGGGGATCTCAGCTCTGGGTGTGTCCCCCAGTCTCAGCTTGGATAAGGTCTAGGGGAGGGGGCTGCAGCGATGAGCTCTCCCCTCCCCCTTCCTTCCCAGCCAACCCCGCTCCCCCATTATTCCCTTCTGGACCATTAGAGGTGGGCTCTGGAGGCTGGCGGGAGGGAGGAAGGGGTGTGAGGGATTAGGATCCAGCCTGGGACCCAGAGCCCGGAGAGGCAGGTGGAGAGAGGGGGCAGGCTGAGGCCAAGAGAGATGAGGCTCCTGACCCCCCAGTGAACTTGGGAGGGGGGGCAGGGAAAGAGAGAAAGGGGCAGAGGCCTCATGGGAGTACAACGGGCTTACTCAGGTGCCCCTCCTAGGGCTCCTACCACCCTCCCCCACCCCCCAGAACTGGCCAACTAGCCTGCAGGTCTTATTCCAGAAGGGTGCCTGTCCTCTTGGGGGAGGCACTAGGACTTGACAGAGCCAAATCCAAAGTTAGAAAGTACAGGTCACTGAGCCAGCTGCTGTAGGACCCCCAGAGTCCGGGTGCTCCAGGGAGTTGGTTCCCTGGCAGGCCTTTCCCTGACATTCTTCCTAGGCTGCCCCGGCCTCAGCGGTCAACCCCAAGGTCCAGAAAGGCCCCAGACTTGTGGTCAGACGCTCCCCATCCAGCCAGGGTTGAGGGCCAGGAGAGGACCAGCTCCTGCCCCATCCGTATTGGTGGTCACGCTCCCCATTACCTGCCCCATAACTCAACTGCCTTTCCAGTTCATTCATCAAAGTCCCAATGTTTCTGCTCGTAAACACTTCAGCTTGGCTTTTATCTGGTTTGAAATTAGGGCCCCTGGTCTCTCCTCCCACCAGCCTCTTCCCGGAGGGCTGGCACCAGCTCCTCCCCCAGCTCAACCTCCCCCAGCCTCCTCAGGGCTTGGGGCCTAACCTGGGAGGCTCTCCTCTGCCCTCGGCCCCCATCACCCAAATACTTTATGTTCTCCCCCCACCCAGGCTGCGGTCTGTGCAGTCCCCCTGTGCCCTCCTGGAGGCCCACCGATGGCTGTGGAGGGCTACGTTGTGGGCAGGTGGGCAGGCAGGACAGCCTGTCCCTGTGAGAGCCTCCGCCACTCACTGGAAAACAGTCCTCAGAGCGCAGCTGCTCTCACCCAACTCCATGCTCCAAGGAAACCTGTAAATTCTCACCAGCTCCCCATTCCACAAGGTGGGGGGTAGGGAAGGAGGGGAAGGACTGGACACAGGAGGGTCCTTTGTCCCTTTTCCTTTTTGGGAAAAGCACTCAGGCCAGGCCTAGTGCTTCCTATCAGGGTCACTCACATGGTTTCCACTGCCCCCTACCCCCAAGACCATCAGAGCCAGCACCCAAGGGCTTGAGGGTGGGCTCTGGAGGTGGTGGAAAGATGAGGGTCCCTTCACCCCACATACACCCCTCAGGCGCTGGGCCTTTAGCAGGCAGCAGTTTAGACGCTGGGCTCAGAAGCCCTGGGCTGGGAGATTTCTTAGCCGGAAAATGGGAATATTTGCCCGCAAAATATTTGCCTGCCTCCCCCTTCCCTGTAGAAATGTCTGCACACCGAGGACGAGGGCGGGCAGAGGCCGGGGTACAGAAAGTGAAAATTTGGTTTCATGGGAAAATGGGCTCCTCCAACCACTGACTCCAAATCTAAGAGGGAGCTGGGCACTCTCCTGGCCTTTTTCCTCCGCACGCACTGATTTTTCCCCTCTAAACACTGTGCGCAGGGGCCGACCGCAAGCGAGGCCGCCAGACCTACACCCGCTACCAGACGCTGGAGCTGGAGAAGGAGTTCCACTACAACCGCTACCTGACCCGGCGCCGGCGCATCGAGATCGCGCACGCGCTCTGCCTGACCGAGCGGCAGATCAAGATCTGGTTCCAGAACCGCCGCATGAAGTGGAAGAAGGAGAACAAGACCACGGGCCCCGGAGCCCCTGACCAGGACAAGGCCGAGGCTGAGGAGGATGAGGAGGAGTGAGGGAGGGAGAAGGGGCAGAGGAAGACAGAGATGAGGAAGGGAGAGAGGGAGAAAGAAGCCCAGCTTTTGGGAACTGAACCAGGAAACTCAGATCCAATAGGGGAGGAAACCCTATTTAAATGGAAAACAGTTAAAAAAAATTTTTTTTAAGGAGAGAAGGTGAAATTTCTTAACATTGAAACAAGTTGCTTAACACTGAAAACAGAAACTACCTATAGGAAAGTCCACCGGGTCTGTTTGTACAGCATGGGAAGGACACCGTCTACCTGCTCTATAGCTTTCTGGAATTTGCCTCCCCTTTTCTATGTCGCTACTGTAAGGTCTTTGTAAAAATGTTGCTGTTTTGTAAGCCCCCCCCCCCCATCTTCGATGCTGTCTTTTGTGGTCTGTGGGTCTGGACTAACTGGACTAACGTGTTGTTCCCCGCCCCCATGAGCCCACCCTCCCAGTAGAGGCACCCATGGGGCCTTAGGGAGCCCCAAGGACCCACTGACTAGCTCCATTGTCCTCGCGCACCTGCCCTGCCCCTCACTCCTTGCTCCCGCCAGCCCTGTGGTCCTCTTTACCTTGTGTGTATCTGAAGAATGGAGAAATAAAACGCAATTTAAAAACAAACGGATGCTCTGCTTTCTGTGTCTCCCTAAGGCAGGGCGTGGGTCAGGCTAGCCTTTCAGTCTAGCACTCCTCTCCTGTCATGTCTGATGTCGGCCTGTTTCTTTCTGCCCTGGGTCTCAAAACATTTTTTCCTGGTGCCCCTGCTCTGAGGGCTGCCAACTAGTGAATCCAACATCATACACACATTCCCTCTCCATTTTTTTACACACACACACGATGACATACACGCATACCATCCTATATTTATAGGCGGAATCACAGAAAGAAATCTATATTGTCATACACAGCCACAAAGAAACACTCATCTTTATATATTCACACACACGCGCCCAGGCGTCCTCACATCCCAGCTTCGTGCCCAGATACACGCATTCATGTTCGCACACACTCACGAGCAAACACAGATTCACACTCACCCCCAGACACATTGATGCATGCCAGTGTACATTCACACGCTGGCGTATAAACACACAGATTCACATTTGCCCCCCCCTCCCCGCTCCCCCAAGTAAACACATCCCGGGCCCACATGCTCCATCACACACGATCCCAAGACAAACCTCACTAAACCCTCACACCAGGCCCACAGACTCCCTCCACCGGGCCCTGCACCCAGGCCGAGGGCTGGGCAGGGCCGCCAGGGCCCCAGCTGACTTGCAAAGTGCTGGGCCCCGAGCGGAGGGAGAGCGGAAGGAAAGGGAAAATGACCACCCGATTCCACCGCGATTCCTGGCATTCCGGGGCGGCGCTGGGCTGAGGCCAGACCAGAAGCAGGAATCCGGGGAGAGGCCTCCACGCCAGGCGCTGCCAGCTCCCGCGGCAGATAGCTTCTGCGAGATCTATTCGGTTATTTTATTTCCATGCATGTTATCTTCCACGGACTTTCATTGATATGTTCTAAATGAACACAGTGACCCAGGTAAAACTTGAAGATGGGGGCTGGGGGCCGAGTGGAGAGAAGCGGAGCCTGGGCAGCGCGAATTTACCGGCTGGTGTGGCCGCGGCCCGGCGCCCGAGCCCGCGGCGCCGCCCGCCCCTTCGCCGGCGGCTTCTTCGGTGCCGTTCGGCTCGCTTTTGGCGCCGCCGGCAACCTGCGGCCTCCTCCGGAGCTCAGGGAGAGAGAGAGAAAAGAGAAACATTTGCGGGGAAGTTATTTCGTTTCTGGAATTGGGGCGCGAGTAGCCTAATTCAAAATACCGGAGGATTTCAGGGGCGGGGGGCTGGGAAACGATGTGGATTTTGTTGTTCTTGGGGTCGCTTTTGCTCCAAAAACTTCCTCCCTCATTGAGGGACAAAGCCCCGGAGGCTGGCATCCCCGGTGCCACCGAGTTTTAGTCTGTATTCGCTGAGAAACCCCGGGGTTTTATTTCAATGGAAAGAGCAGCAGTCGGCAGGCTGAAGGGAGAGGATGGGAAGGGAAGGGCGTTTGAAAATCTGTTTGATTGGAATTTGTAAGTAAAAGGCCCCGGAGTCTGCAATTCCCCCGTGAATGGCCGCAGAACCCCCTGGAGAGCACACGGAGTGTTCCCGGGAGCCTGGGCGGTGGGCATTGGGGTGGGAGAGGCAGGGATCCCCCGTTAGCCTCCTCCGATTTGTGGGGTGCAGAGGCGAGAATCTGATTCCTACACATCCGCCTAGCCCTCCATCAGGGCCACCTTCCCTCCCTGGGGGGAAAACGAGGGCCCCAGGAGGTCTAGGGCCCCCACCCCCGCAATGCTGTAAGCCTCACCGGTGTGGGTCCCGCCATTAATAGAGCTGGGAATGAGGGGGGCATTCGGAGAAGCACAGGGGGGCACAGAAGCTTTCATTTCGCCTCGATGCCATTGGCAACTCAGAGCACCAGCTACTGCTCCCGACTAACCCCAAAACTGCCCCTGAACAGTCCCCGGGTGGAGTATTTGGGGTGAGTTTTTACTAGAAGAGGGGGGCAGAGCCCCTGTGAGAATCCGGGAGGTTCCAAAAAGGACCCCCTTCCCCGCTGGAGCCTTGTGGCTCCTCGACCTGATTGCCAGCACCCCAAATATCACCCCTTCTTAGGGTGGGGTTTCCCCCAAAAAAGCGAGGAGGAGAAGAAAAGAAGATGGCGACCGAGAAAAGGGTTGCTGGTGGAGCAGCCATGAAGAAATGCAATAAATTCCTTGTTGTTTTATGAAAATTTACAACTTTGTGATAGAAGTTTATGAGTGGTTGAATCCAGCGATTGGCCGGCGCCGGTCATGTGGCCGGGCGGTCGTGAACATGAACTTTTTATCATTTCCCTGGTGGTTATCCTGCAGCATTCTTTTGGACACCACACCTAGGTCGGAGCACTGTCGTCCTTCAGGGCTCCAGCCTCTTGATATTTTTACACTTCACTATCAGTTCGATCAAGCAAACGAGAGAGGGAAAGGGAGGACGAGAGAGGGGGAGAGGCAAGGAGAGAGAGAGAGAGGGGGGAAGGAAGGGTGGGAATTACACAAAAGAGAGGACCTGAAATAATTTTAATTCCTAAGTTCATTTCCTGGCTGATCTGGGATTTTTAGCCACCATGGAGGGTAAATGGACAATCTGCCCAGGACTGCAGGCTGATGCCATTTTTCAAAGCCAGAACTTACTCCATTTTCTATGCAAATGTCAGGAAAGGAAAAAAACGAAACACCCTCTCTCCCAAGCCGGAGAAGGGGAAGCGACGGCTCTCAGGTTGGGACAATATTATCTGGAAGATGAAGAAGAAACCGAACGCTCTTTTTTTGTTGTTTTTTCCCCTTCTTCCTCCCCACCCTTTTCAACCGGAGGACAGAAACCTCAAGATCTGCAAAGGTAAGGGAGATTCTACAGTTTCTCTGCTTATTCTTTTTGCCTCGATGCTGCTGTAGGTGGGGCTTGGGTTTGGCCCCCCTCCTCCCCTGTCCAAGATGGGCCTGAACCCCACCTCTGGGTGCTGCAGGGAGAGGCTTCCCCGGGAAATTCGGCAGCGGAGAGAGGGGTGGCCGCTTCCTGGAGGAGGAACGAGGGCAGGGAAGATGGGAGGAGGCACCCAAGGGGCCACGGAGGCGAGCTTAAGCCGCCTTTTGAAGCTGGAGGAGAGGCTCCGGCGAGGGGGGCTGCGGAAGGGAGGATGGGGGGTTTGGGCTTCAGGGCACTCGGAGAAGCCGGTGGCTCCAGCCTCTGTGGGTTTGCGCTTCCACCCCCTCCCCCATCCCTCCCTCGTTCTGGCCTCCCCCCAGTGGCCCGGGTGCTGATCTCTTGCCCGTTCGGTGTCGGCAGCTTCCCGGCAGCATTGGCACAAGGGCCGTCCTGGTCTCTGGAGGGCCTGGGATCTCCGCAGAGGCCGCGGAGGGCCAGGAGGCGGCTGGGGAGAGACAGAAAGGACAATTTACGGAGAAACTTGCTCATTATGTCTCTTTGGAAACATTTAAAATGAAAGGGCTGTAAGTGGAGGCATCTAGATGGAGGTCCTCCCCTCCCCCAGCCTGCCTCAGATCGCCCAGGTCCCCGGCCACTCCCGAAGGAGGCAGCCTTGCTCTGCAGGGAGACAGTTTTGTGTGTTTTTTTTGTGTGTGTGTTTTTTAACGCGGTAGGTCACAACGTGCTGGTTTCTGTGCGATGCCGTTGCTATTCCTTGTGTTTTGTTGGTTTGGGGGGGGGTGGTGTGTGAATTTCGGTGGAGGGGGAACATTGCCATTTGCATAACGGATGTTGAACCATTTCAAACTTTCCTGGATCTAAACCTGGTGATTGTGAAGAAGCTGTTGTGTGTTGATTAAGGCTTGTAAATAAAAAAAAAATTTTTTTTAAAGGAGAAGAAAATAAAAAGGAAACCCAATTGGGGGGCCTAATGGTGTCTGGGCTGGAGAGCTGCCTGGCGCTGAGCTCAGACAGCTAGTCCTGTCCCTCGGGCGCCAGAGTTCACCCCCCAGCCAGGCCTTCTGGGGGCGAAGGGGACGCTTTGGGCTGGAGAGGGAGATTCCTGGAGTAGCTGGTGGGGGTGGAAGGCGGTGCAGGTCTCTGGGTGTGGACTTAAAATAGAGTAAGGGAGCTTCTGAGGAAGCTGCAAGCCAAGAGATAAGCGACTTTGAAGAGATTGATTCAGTTTGGTTTGCGCGATGAGGTGATTGCTTCTCTCTTTTTACAGACCAGAGGCCGAGTGTCCAGACTCGGGCCCCTGGTTGCCTAAGGAGGCTGTGTACGGGGTCCTGGCCCCCTTGGTCCTGAGCTGGGCGAGAGGGACTCAGCCACTTGTGGCCAGGGAGGGGTCCCTGGAGGCCCAGGTGGAGGCCCTCCCAGCAGGCCGGGATGGGGTGTCTGGAGGGACCCCGCGCTGCGCACAGCCGGAGAAGTTCTCGGCTATCCCCCACGGCACTCGGAGCCTATTCTCAAAGGGGAGAAAACCCCAAACCCACCCAGACGAAAGGTCTTTTTCTCCTGCAGTCTCGGCCGCGGGGTATAAATCATCCCTCAGTTTGCCTGGATCCAAATTATGCGGTTTGCTGCCATCTACCGTCCGTTCGGAGACATGCGGCCGCGGCGCCGCCAGCCCCGCGCGCGATGCTGCCTGTACCGCGCCCGACGCCCCGAGCCCGGTCTGGCGGGGTTTGGCTTAGGCTTGGCGGGATTCGGGGACTTCGGGGCCCGATGGATCCCGGTCACTCCCCGTTGGATCCCGGTTCGCGCCCGCCCGGGTGTGCGTTAGAGAACAAGTGTCCTCTCCCCCGCGCCCGCCCCACCCTGGCTCCGAACCTCGCGGCTGGCGGGGCAGCGGCTTTTTCTGGGGAATATTTACAGGGACTGGTCCTGCCTCCCGCGGGCGGGGGGCCCTGAACCGGAGAGCCCCCCACCCACCCCCGCGGGCGCTGGAGGGGATCCCCCGACCTCTCGGGAGATGCGAGGCCAAGGCTGTTCCAGGTTTATTTGGTGTGTTTTTGGCCAAGGGAGGGGCCGGCAGGGGAGGCGCAGGCCCGGCAGTCAAAAGACAACCGGGTCTGTGTTCTCCCGGTCGGCTGGTGGGTCTTGCCAGCTCCTTGGCGGGCGAATCGGTGGCGAAGGAATGGAGCCTAATTTTCTGGAAACTGTCGGTGTCTGCGAGTGAGTGCGGGCCCCCTCCCTCGTTCTCAATCGTTTCGAGCGAAATGACCGACCAAGATGCTGTGGGGATGGGTGGGTGTGGGGGGGGGGGGCTTGGGAGTGGGAGTGAAGATCAATCACTGGGGAGCCGGACCTTTGTGGTTTTCGTTCCTGCCGGACCCGCACACCCGCTTTCCCAGAAGGGCGGCGAGGGCGGGGGTCCGCGGCTGCCCTGCGCCTCGCTGGGATGTGGGCCCGGTCTCTCCGGTTACTGATTAGCTCGGGCTTTCAAGCCGCGGGAGGAAGCGCTGGCCATCCCTTTCAAGGTGCTGTGGCCCCGGCTCCTGGGCGGGGGCTGCAGGAAATGGCCTGCGGTGCCGGGCGGGCCGAGGTGTTATGGGGTCTGGCCTGGAGCTGGAGGGGCTGCCGCGCTGGCGGGCCCGGCGGGCGGGGCGGGGGGCAAACGCCGGGGCTACCCCCCTCCCCCCGTACCCCTGGCGCCTCGGGAGCCTGGGCTGCAGGGGCAGCCCCTCCAGGGTTCCGCCGCGGGAGAGATTTTCCTGCGGCTGGAAGGCCCGACCCGTATGGGAGGCCCCGAGGGAGCGCGCCCCGCCGGTAGGGGCCCCTCGGGGGATTTTTCTTGTGGGCAACCCTAAGGTCTGGTGGGGAGGAGGAGAAGGTGGCGGGTACAGAGGGTTCAAACGCTCCGGGGCTCCTAGAGCGCTGGGGGGCCTGGGGGTGGCGGAGGGGGGAGCGGGAACTGAGCACCGAAGCCCTCCCCTCCCCACCCCGAGACCGGAGACAAGGTGGCTCATTTGCATATGAAAATGAGGTCCTTGCCCCGAGCTCTGGACCTGCCCATTTCCAGGCCCCGTCCCTTCTACACAGCTCGCAAAGGTTGGGAGCCATCACATTGCTTCCCGAACCCAGAGAATCACAGAATTGGGTAGCTCTATATTTCTATTTGCCGCACCCCAGCCGGAGTTACAAGTGGAGTGAGGGAGGGTGTCCACAACCCAAAGAGCTGGGGGGGGGGGGTGCGCTTTGAAGCTGAGAGGAAAGGGGAAGCCTGGACAATGTCTCAACCCCCCTCCCCTCCTCTCCCCCCACACACAGGCAGATACCCCTTCCTGGGCTGGCTGGTGCTGGGGAATTTTCCTCCCGAGCTGAGCACAACTGAGGCATTTCCCTGGGAGCTGGAATGTGTGAGCGGCCACACGGCTGCAGATGGGAAGCACAGAGAACTAACCCCCGCCTGCGAGGTCTCTGTGCATCCTTCTGTTGTGTCCTTAAGACGTGGTACAGGTTTCTATCCACCCCCGTACACGTTTCCTGGTTGAAGCAGGGAGAGACCCCCCCCCACCCAGCCGGGCTGTGCCCGCTGCTGTGTATTTACATATCCCCCCTCGGAGACAGACAGATGGGACAGTGGACTGAACCACAGACAGAGCCGTAGAGACCTGGCTCCAGGAACCAGGCGGCCTCTGGCCCAGCTCTGCCTGCCTGCTCTTTCTCCCAAACAAACGGATCAGAGGAATAAACGCTCATAAATACCTCTGGGTTTAGATAAGAGCGATGAGGCGCGATTTCCTTTCATGCCGTACTACAGGCGCCCAGGCCCTGCCTTTTCGGCTCCGGCTCATGACAGGCAACCTGCAGAGGTGAGGGTAATTTGGGGCTGTGACTCTTAAGGATAAGGGGGATATTTTCCTGCTTCGATCACAGGGGAATCTTACTTTGTCCAGACTCCACAGGCAAGCTTACATCACCCAGTCCCAGGATGGGGACATAGTGGCCAGCAAGGACACAGGGAGGGCTGAAACCCAAGGCCCAGCCTCAGTGGCAGGGGAGGAGGGGGGTGCACACAGCCGCCCTCAACCTCGCTCACCTCGCCCACAGGGTCCACGTGCCTCTGTGGGAATGGGCCCAATCACAGCTAGATTGGAACACTTACAGGGCTGGTCACAGCTAGGTTGGAAACATTTATGATGCCCCATCATTAGAAGGCTTGGGTTTATTGTCCTTAAATCCTGATAAAACGACTGCAGCATCAGGCTAGGAAGGGACCACCCCTTGGCCATGACGGTGCAGCCTAGATGTTGTCCTGAGTTCAACCAAACAGGTCCCCACCCTTAGTCACCAACTCAGCCCTCTGCCATTGTCCCTGGTGTCTTGTCCCATCTTTAGGGGGTAGAGCTGGCCCCCAGACAGGAGCCCAAAGAGCAAGGCAGAGAGGAGGCGCGGCCTGGCCCCTTCAGCAGACATTGTCCCATACCGGGGCCCGTTCCCAGCTCCAGGTCTGAAGGTGGACAGCCTTTCCCTCCTCTGCGGGAACACTAGAATTTTGAAAACACATTGTGCTGCCTTCCAGCCTGGCTTCAGTGCTCATTTTCTTTAGATGCGAGAGCCAGAGACACACACGCTCCCGCACACTCAGGCCGGTACTGCAGCGAAGCTGTGCCACACACATGAGGTGGGGTGTGAGGGATGGTAGAGATGCTGAGAGAGACAGAGGGTGGCGAGCATCTGGAGAGGGGATGTGGGCTGACAGTGCTGAGCTGCCTGCTGAGACCCAGAGACTCTTCCCTCTTATAAAACCAAAATTAAGTCTTGGGAAAGAATTTTTAAAAAGAACTGCCAGCTTCTGGAGAGACTTGGAAAAGGTGCCACCCTATTTTCCTGGTGGTCTCTAATGGCCTCAAATATCAGGAGGGTTTGAGGACCCCAAATCAGAGGAGGACCAAGTTCTTTCCTGTACCCTCTTCCTGAGACAAGCTGGATTCCTAAGAATCTGTAGCCCCGGATGTTCTTATGTCTGTGGGGGTGAAGGTGGCAGGCAGGATAAGTAACCAGACAAACCTAGGCTGGGGGGGTGCCCCTCACACGTCCTCTCTTTATCCCTTAGCGGAGCTGGCCAGACCCTCTCCCCAGTGCCCCTTCCTGTGCCAAGAGCAAGCGGTACATACTAGAGCCAGGCATGATGTCTTAGGTAGCAGCCGGTACATACTAGAGCCAGGCATGATGTCTTAGGTAGCAGCCGTAGTGGTTGGTCCAGGAGGCTCCTAACCTAGCTGCAGACCCAGAGGAGAAGGTTAGGCTCAGACCCTCGTCCCATTTGCCGGCCTTTGGGGTCCTCTGGCCCAGGCTCTGGCCTGCCTCTCAGACCCTGAGAGTTGTGGAGAAGCAGAAATAACCCCAGGCTTGGCGAGATAGAGCAGATAGAGCAGATCTGAGAGACAAGGGGGTGGGGGTGGGGCTTCAAAACCTGGGAAAGTGATGGTTTCCTTTTCCCCTCCCTCTCTCTGCAAGGATGCCAGTGAGTGGAGAACGCTTCTCCCCAACACAAAACCAGAAATAAACCGCCTTTGGCTCTCTCCTCCTGGGTTGAGATCTGTGATTCAGGGGCGGCCGCCCACTCTTCCCTGGAGGGAATGGGGCTCAAGCAACGCAGGGGTTAACTTTTCTGAAAACACAATTAACTTTTCCCTATCCTGCGTGGGGAGGGAGGGGTGTAGTTATTTAATCACTTGGGGGATGAGGTGGTCTCAACCGAAGCTCCCTCCTCCCGCACAGACGTCCCTCTGGCAGATCCTACGTAGATGGAACAGAACGCGTCGTGTTGTTGGGGGGAATTGAGAGAGAGAGAGAGAGAGAGAGAGAGAGAGAGAGAGAGAGAGGAGAAGGAAAGGGGGGGGAAAAGGTTGATAGGTTTGTGCGCGGGTCCCTGGCGCGGGCTGCGCTCCTCCTGGGTGCTATTTGACAATTCCTGCCTCTGCCATTGGTCAGTGTTGGATCAGATGGTTGTATTTCCTTCTGGCCCTCGCTGGCACCTCGCCATCCCCCCTCCGCGAAAACCCAATCTCAGATATACTCCTAATAGGCGCGGTGCTCGGACTATAAAACACAACAAATCATAAAGCCGGCGCAGCAGCGGGCCGCGCGCCTCCTCCCGATGAGCTCCTATTTCGTGAACTCCACCTTCCCCGTCGTCACGCTGGCCGGCGGGCAGGAGTCCTTCCTGGGCCAGCTGCCGCTCTACTCCTCCGGCTATGCGGACCCGCTGCGCCACTACCCCGCGCCCTACGGGCCCGCGCCCGGCCAGGACAAGGGCTTCGCCGCCGCCTCCTACTACCCGCCCGCGGGCGGCGGCTACGGCCGGGCGGCGCCCTGCGACTACGGCCCGGCGCCCGCCTTCTACCGGGACAAGGAGGCGGCGGCCTGCGCGCTCTCGGGCGCCGACGAGCCGCCCCCCTTCCACCCCGAGCCGCGCAAGCCCGACTGCGCGCAGGACAAGAGCGTGTTCGGCGGCGAGCCCGAGGAGCAGAAGTGCTCGGCGCCCGTCTACCCCTGGATGCAGCGGATGAACTCGTGCAACAGTGAGTGAGGCTCCGCCGCGGTCCCCCGGGCACCCACCCCGGAGGGGAGGCAGAACCAGGGAGGCCCCCTTCCCCGCCCCCGTTCCCTCCCTGGGTGCAGGCTGGGCGTCCCGGTGAGGATCGGAGGGAAGTCGCGGCGCCCGGACAGGGTCCCTGCTCTGCCCTCTCGCCCTCAGGAGTTAGAAAGTTTGCAAAAGTCCCAGCCGCGCTCTGAGCCTGGGGAGCGAGATGGGCGCTCCGGGGGCAAGGCCAACCCGGGGTTGCGGGTCACAGGTCGCAGCCACGGGCTTGGCTTTCCCTTGCCCCCCCCCCCAAGCCCTGGTCGGGGCCCCCCCCCCACCCCAAGACAGTTCCACTGAAAACCGAGTGCGTCACGGGAAGGGGGGCGGTGTGACGCTGGCGAGGGAGAGGGCAGCCGTCCCGGCCTGTCTCCCTGGAGGGGGGGGGGGCTGGGGGAAGATGAGGCGCCAGGAAAGGGGCGGAAGTCAGAGGAAGGGGGGGCAGAATAAGGGGAAGCCAAAGAGTGGGAGCAGACGGAGGAGGGGGCGGAGGAGGGGGCGAGCGGGAGAGGCAGGCGCCTGGGTCTCAGGCTGGATTATTTGTCGGCCTTAAGTCCCAAATTGATGTCCATTAGCGGGACAAGAAAGTGAGGAGCCGTTAATGCCCACGGTGGATCGATCCACGTCATTACGGATTAAGGGCTGGAATCTGTCACCGGGGGCGGAGGGGGGGGAGCCAGATGTAAGAAAAGAAACGGGGCAGCTAGCCAGAGACACACCTGGGCGCCCCTTCTCCAGCCCCTCCCCCCCTCCCCCGGCTCAGGTGGGATTTTAAACTGCCCCTCCCCGCCCACACGGGAAGGCCCGGAGGGAGGCGCAGGCCGCGGAGGCCCGCGGGGGATTTGGAGGGGGCGCTGCAGGGCCCCGAGAGGCCAGGGCACCTCGGGACGCGCTGGAGCCCCCGCGGGAGGGCCGGGTGGGAAAGGCGACCCCAGCCAGGCCTCAGCACCTCCTCTCTGCCTCCCAGGTTCCTCCTTCGGGCCCAGCGGCCGGCGCGGCCGCCAGACCTACACCCGCTACCAGACGCTGGAGCTGGAGAAGGAGTTCCACTACAACCGCTACCTGACGCGGCGGCGGCGCATCGAGATCGCGCACGCCCTGTGCCTGACCGAGCGGCAGATCAAGATCTGGTTCCAGAACCGCCGCATGAAGTGGAAGAAGGAGAGCAAGCTGCTCAGCGCGGCCCAGCTCAGCGCGGAGGAGGAGGAGGAGAAGCCGGCGGAGTGAGGGCGCCGAGAAGGCCGGGGGCGCCCGGGGGGAGAGGCCTGTGGGCAGCCGAGGGCATCGGGGAGCTGGAGGAGGCTCCGCGGGCGGGGGAGCCGGGGGACCCGCTCTCCTGCACGGGACGGGCGGGGCCCGGGGCTCCCCGGACGCTCCCCGCCCGCAGAGCTCTCTGGGGGTGCAGGGAGGCTGTGCAAGCCTGAGCCCACCGGCCCCCTCGGCCCCCTCCATCCTCCCGGAACCCGCCTCGGCCTGCCCCGGCTCCCTCCCCCCGCCCCGTGAGAACTGAGGGCCGGACTCATTCGAGGTGTCCTGGAAGCAGAGCAAAACACACTCTTGTCCGTGTGCATCTCATGCGGTCCCCGTTCCCCCGTGTGCACGGTTCAATGGCAGCTTCGCAGCCCCCTCAGCGGGGGCCCCGAAGACTCCCTGACCCCAGACCTCTGGCCCCGTCCCCCGCCCCGAAGCCACTGGAAGGAGCACATACTACCTAGAAGCAAGAAGAGGAGCCTGAGAAGAAAACAAAGTTCTATTTTATTAATTTTCTATGTGTTGTGTTTGTAGTCTTGTCTTAGCTCTCTGGACGTGAAATACTTCTGTAATAATATTAATATTATTAATAATGATGATGATGATGATAATAATAATAAAGACATAAAAAAACGCGCCGCTTGGTCACCTCTGCTCTCCCCGGCCACGCCCCCACCCCCGGGCCACCCTGCGGGGCCCTGGGCCGGAAACTCGGGGCGCTCTGGGCCCCCCAGGCCCGGCTGGACTCAAGTCACAGTTGAGATAAAGGCTGGAGCCGGCCCTCTCTGAACGGCCTCTCTCGGTGCCGCCTGGGGGGACCCAGCAGGGCCGTCTCCCTGTGGAGACGGAGCCAGGAGGGACTCGGCCTGGGCAGCGCCTTCTGGTCCTCCGAGGAGGCCGTGGCCTTTGGCCTGCCCACTTGGCCCGATCTCTGCTGGCCTTGGCCCTGGGCTCTTGGCTTGTGGCTCCAGAGACCAAATCAGGGTCTTGCGATCTCTCTTTCCCCGCCGCTGGAAGCTCGGGCTGCCTTTCCTGCCTGAAGTGGGAGTTCGGTGACAAGGAGGGGAATGCGGAGCCACGGGCAGGCAGGCCTGGCGCTGGCACAAGGGCACGGCTTTCTCTTCCTTGGGAACCCTGGGTGAGCAGGAAGCCAGGTTGGGAGGGCAGTCTGGTCTCCTCCAATCTACCCAAAACGACTCATTCTCTTACCCCCACCCGCGCCCAGGCCGCAAGCTGTGGACGCCGTTTTCCTTTCTTCCTCCTCCCTGTCTCTCTCTCCCTTTTTCTATTTTTAAAGAAAATAGCCTATCGGCAGAAAGGGCCCAGCTGCGGCTGTCTCTGGCCGCCCAGCGCGCACTGGTCCTTGGACCCCCTTCCCTGAAAAGGCACTGGCCGCGGGGCACATTCAGAAAGTGCCCAGACGCTGGCGAGGGGCCTCCAAACGCAATAGCAGGCGTCTGGGGCCGAGGCGAGAGGCTCCTGCCTTGATCCCCAGCTCTGAAAACCTCCTTTCCAACCAGACCCCAGACGCCCGCCTGATGCAGTCACAGGCTCCGTTTTTCCCTACAAACTAGGCCATTTCGCCTGAGCCAGGCTCCTCCTGGGGTCCCTGTCCGGCTCTGCCGTTCCCCAGGCTGGGCTAAGGATGGGAAGGAGGTCGAGCAGAGGATCCCCCAACTTCTAAGGGACACAGGAAAAGCGAAAGTTTTTCCGTCCGACGCTCGGCCCAGCCCTGCCTGCTTGCCCGAGGGCGGTGGATGGGCCACCGCAGCCGGTTAGGAAGCAGGCCGGGCCGGTGGGTGAGGGTGTGGGCATTCCGTGCCAATAACTGTTTTTCACACACATCTCCCCACCCTATCTCCTGTTTCTGCGCCCTACTCGGAGACTTGCAAAAAAAAAAAAAAAAAAACCAGAGTAAGGGAAAAGCAGCTCCGTGCTGGGTCACCTCATCCAGAGTTTAAAATAACAATGACCGGGCGAAGAACACACATAGAGAGAAATACTCCACACTCCGGAGAAAGGGCGTCCAGGCTCCAAGGGGTCCCTCCTGTCAAAGACTCAACCAGCCCTGCGGGGTGACCCGGCCGGGTTTCTTTCTCGCCGGGTTCGCGGGGAGCCGGCGGGGAGGCAGCCAGCCTGCGCCGCCATGGCGGCCCGCGGCCCGCGCTCCCGCCGATCGCCGGGAGGTGGCGCGCTCTGCTCAGAGGCCGCCGCCAACCCTCTCCCTGCGTCTCCCCCTTCCTCCTTGTTTCCCCCTCTCTCGGAGGCTCGCATTGAATCGGCCCTAACGATTCTCGGATCGTCATTATTTGTAACCATAGAGCATGAATTACCTCTTGAGGTCATCAGTGAGAATTTACGACTGGTCAACAAAAGCACGTGATTCCCTAACGCCCCCCCATCCCCCCTTCCAACATCCCCCCCCCCATATTTGGCCGCATACATAGCAAAACGAAGTACAGTGCATCGCTATAATTCATTAATACATCATAAATCGTGAAGCACGGGGTTATAACGACCACGATCCACAAATCAAGCCCTCCAAAATCACCCAAATGAGCTCGTACTTTGTAAACTCCTTCTCGGGGCGTTATCCAAATGGCCCGGACTATCAGTTGCTAAATTATGGCAGTGGCAGCTCTCTGAGCGGCTCTTACAGGGATCCCGCTGCCATGCACACCGGCTCTTACGGCTACAATTACAATGGGATGGACCTCAGCGTCAACCGCTCCTCCTCGGCCTCCTCCAGCCACTTTGGGGCGGTGGGCGAGGGCTCGCGCGCCTTCCCGGCGCCCGCCCCGGAGCCCCGCTTCAGGCCGGCGGCCGCGGCGTCCAGCTGCTCCCTGTCCTCGCCCGAGCCCCTGCCCTGCACCAACGGCGACAGCCACGGCGCCAAGCCCTCTGCCTCGTCCCCCGCCGACCAGGCGACCCCGGCCAGCTCCGGCGCCAATTTCACCGAAATAGACGAGGCCAGCGCGTCCTCGGAGCCGGAGGAAGCGGCGAGCCAGCTCAGCAGCCCCAGCCTGGCGCGGGCGCAGCCGGAGCCCATGGCCACCTCCGCGGCCGCGCCCGAGGGGCAGACTCCGCAGATATTCCCCTGGATGAGGAAGCTGCACATCAGCCACGGTAATTCCGCTCTCTCCTCTCTCTTTTTGTCTTCCCGGGCGGGCGTCCCTTCTCTGCGTTTGGGGATGGTGTGTTGGGGGGGGGGGGGCTAGGAGAGGTTGGCTTTCCTCAAAGATAGCTTTATTAATTTTTTCCAGGGGGGCAGAAGTCTCTAAGAGAGTCCTCCCAGCTCCGGGGACAGAGCCACAGAAGGGCGTTTAGCTGGGAGGAATATTTTTAAAATTATTTGCTCCCAGACCCGGCTCGGGTGTTCCTCGCCCGGCTGTACCAGCTTTGGGGTGGAGGATGGGGGTCCTGGGAGGTGGGGAAGGGTCCTGCTTGCTACAGAAAGGGTGAGGCTGCCGCCGGCAGAGGAGGGCCAGGCGGTCCAGGAGCTTCCCGGGGCAAAAGTGCAGCCGCCCTCCTCCCTCCGGGGGGCCGCGGGCGCCCGAGCCCGGCGAGCGGAGGGTGAGGCGCAGGGAGGGAGCCGGAGACAAAGCCGGGCGCCTCGCTGCCCGCGGAAGTCGGGGCTGCGGGAGGAAGAGGGTGCAGAGCACGAGCTTGAATTCATTCGGGGGGCCTCTGGAGTGGGGAGGATTGGGGGTGCAGTGAGCTGGGGGCCGGGGACGCCTGGGTCCTGCTCCACGCCCCCCTCTCCCACCCAGGGGCTCCCCCCCCCCATCTCCCTTCGCTGGGGTATAACGTGGCCTCGCGGCTCTGCTCTGTCTGCTCCAGATATGACCGGGCCTGACGGCAAGCGGGCCCGCACCGCCTACACCCGCTACCAGACGCTGGAGCTGGAGAAGGAGTTCCACTTCAACCGCTACCTGACCCGGCGGCGGCGCATCGAGATCGCCCACGCGCTCTGCCTGTCCGAGCGCCAGATCAAGATCTGGTTCCAGAACCGCCGCATGAAGTGGAAGAAAGATAACAAACTGAAAAGTATGAGCCTGGCCACGGCCGGCAGCGCCTTCCAGCCCTGAGTCCTCTGGGAGGAGCCCCGGGGCGGCCCCCTCCGAGCCGTCCCCAGCCCTGGCCCCGGCCCCTCCGGGCCTCCCCGCGCAGCCGCCGCTGCCCGCTGGGGACTGGATCCCATGCGCCGGCCTCGCCCCAGCCTCGTGTTACCATGTTCCGTTTGGTCTTAGATCTTCCTGTGGCTCCCCCTCTCTCCTGGACTGATCGATCTTGTTATTATTGTTCATAATAAGGATAATTATTATTTCCCCTCCATGCTCCCCGCTCCCCTCCGCGCCCCCCCTCCGCCAGATCCACCAGTGTTTCTGAATGTTCGTGTCTGTGGTTGCACTCCTTCCCCCAGGAAGAAAAAGAAAAAAAACTCGCATGTGTAACTGTGAACTCTCCCCTCCCTCCCCACCTTGTCCGTCTAACTTATTTATAAAAGGATGATGGCTGTATGTTGAGTTTTCAGCTGGAAACTTCTCTAAGGGGCAGCAGGGGTGGAAGTGGGGTGGTGCCGCAGCGCCGGGCCCAGCTGAGCTGGCCTCGGAAGGACGTGGAGTCCATAACTGTGTGTTTCTTTCCGCCCTCCTCTTCCTCCTCCCTCTCCGCTCCCTGGGCCCAAGTCCCTCCTTGGTGGCTTGGTCCCCGGGGCAGGGAAGGGGCCAGGGAGGACCAAAGCGGTGGTGATGTTGAGAAGAGGGAAGGTATAGAGTGAGATTTGAGTTCCTGCTGCCTGGGTAGGCCCCACAGGCCTGGGAGTGTACGGAGACAAAAAGAATCCTCAGTGTAAAATGTCTTGTGTATTCCTCCGTGAATCCATGGGCCTGGTGTAGAGAGGCCTAAAGCTTGTAAATATGGGGATACTCTGGGTAGACCCATCGCCTCCCCCCCCCCAATCCATTTTGCTTCTAAGATTATCTGTAGTGAGCGAGTGGGTGCTGTGCTACGCGTGAAATCTGTCTTTGCCGGCCTGTCTCAGTGATTCTCGCTTTTGGTATTTGTTTGTAGCTTCCCTTAAAGTCAAATAAATGTTTCCCCTACTCCGCTGCCCTTCCACTCGTCTTTTCTCTGAGGGGCCTGCCTCTCCCATCGCTGGGCACACCCTAGACCGGTCTAGATAGGTCTGGGGAGCAGGGAACGGAAAACAGGGTGCTCCCCAGCAGCCCCTCTCAAGGACCTAAGCCCCTGGCCTGCTCAGCAGTGCTTGGGCCGGAGGACAGGCCTGTACACCGGGGACAGGCCCAGAAACCCCACATGGGGCTGGGGCGAAGAGAGGCTGAGCTGGCCTTCACCCTGGTCTCCCACCAGCTGGCCAGAGAAGGCCCTGGAAACCTCTTCAGGGGATGCAATTTGGGCCTAAGTTCTGAGCAGGAGGCCCCTGGCCAGTTGGGAGTGGTACTGGGGTACCCAGCTCCCCTGTCCCCTGCTCCAAATCCCATTTCAGTTCTGCCACCCACTAACACAAAAAAAAATAAATAAATAAAAAATCTGCTGGACTTCAGAGGTTTCCCTCACCCTCAATCTTCTCTACACTTATGGAGGGCTCTCTCTCTCTCTCCCCCCAGGAGCCTAACTGACCTTTCCTCTTGGTTTGGAGTTGGGGGGGTCCCTCCTGGAAGACCCCTGGCTTCCCCCTCCAGTCAGCCTGGCCTAGGCCAGGGCCCAGTCCTCCTCCATCCAAGTCAGCCTCCACCCTGAGCAGCAAGAGTCAAGTCTGAGCACTTACCCGCACATCCCTTCCAGCTTGGCCCAACTTCTGACTGGACTTGTGGGGGGAGGGGAAGCTGGTGAGGAGGCAGCAGAGGGTCTTGGAGGCTCTACTGGGCCCTCTTTGCCCCTCACCCCTTGACTTTGTCCCCCTTTGTCCATAGCAAACTATCCCAAAAGTCGCTATGACATTTAGATGTCAAATGGATAGGGGTTTTATCTCGAAGTTAGATCGTAAAAATCGCGGAGAAGTCAGACAGATACCCCTCACTGGCTCGAGAAAGTCACGTGAGGTCCATAAAGTTAGTTTTATGGTTTTGGGGAGTTGACACCGCACGGTATATTTCACATTCTCCAGAATGTTAAGTGACACTTTAACTGCTCGCTGTGGTGGGGAAGGGGGCAGAGGTAGGTGAGGGCTCTCCCAGCCCAGAAGGCAGTGGCGGTGGCGGAGGCCCAGCTCTCCCGCAGTAAGTGGCTTCCAGCTTTTGCTTTTCCCTCCTTGCAGTTTTGGGGCTTGAAACTGGGAAAGGAAATCTCGCCTCCTCGGGCAGGGCTGTAGGATACGTGGGCAAAATCTGGTCTGCTTTTTTGCACCAAGATCTGACAAACGGGGTGTCTGAATGCAAGGGGGGGGGGTGTTGCACTCAGTTCAATAAGGCCTCAGTGGTTGGGGCGCCTGGCTTTTATTTGCAATCCTGTCTGCCTCTTTGTGGGGGGACAGGGTCTGTGTGGGTTCCTCAGGGTCCTTGGGAATTTGGGAGGTAAGAAGGAGGGGTGTGTTCTGCTGAAAGAAGGGCCCCTCGCGGGGGCCAACTCACTGCTGGGGCTTCAGACAGAAGTCTCCCACCCCCGGAAAGAAACTTGATGACGTTCATTTGTTAGGGTGTGTTGGGGTGCGCCGCTGGGCACTTTTATCTGGGTGCATCTGAACTGAGAAAGAGCACCCAGAAGGCGAATGCAGCTGCCTTGCACTGGAATATTCTCTGGTTTTCAGGTCTTTGAACCCCAGGAAAGGGGTGCCTCTGATTCTCTGTAGCCTCGTCAGGATTATCCAAGATGGGGAGCATAGCCCTTTTGCACCCCACTTCGGCCTGTTGGCCCCAAGCCTACCCTTCTGCTTGGCTCGAAGTAGGGTCCTGAGCTCAGAGTGGGGAGCGGACAGAGCAGCAGTGAGCTGAAGGGGAGAGCGGCTCCCCTTGCCTAGAGGGGTTAGATGCTTAAGTAGGTCCCGGAAAATCCTTCCGCAAATAAAACTGGCTCCGGAAAGTAGACCCAAGTGCTGGGAGGGATAAAAGGGACTCGGAGCTGGAGCTGGGAGAGAAAACTGGAAAGGTGCTTTCTTTTCCATCCTCTCCTTTTCTCTTCTCTCGCTACCAGATCCTTGACCGCCCTTTTGTTTTGTTGCCCCACACACCAAAGGGTTTCACTATTCGACCCCAGGAGCCTGTTATTTTCCAGGGATAAGTTGCCCTTCTAAAAACCAGAGGCCTCTTCTCCACCAAATTGACCCCCCCCCCAATTTTGAGACTTATTGGGTCAAATAAGTCACTCCGGCTTTCGCCAGCCTGCCAGCTCTTGCTTCCAGTTCCTGTGGAGAGTGCCTGGAATTGGACAGGTGGCACCTTCAGACGCTTCTGGTCTTTGGGACAAGGAGAGGGTCACAAGATCCCCTCCATTTCCCCTTCAAGGACCTTCCCACTCTCTCCCTCCGTCCTCTCCCTCAGCCACCTTCTGCTTCCCGCGCTCTCGGATCCCTGCACAGGCCTGACTCACAGGCGAGCCTGCACAGGCTCCGAGAGCGAGAGCGGAGAGGACCCGGAGCTTGGGGTCCTCACCCTGATGTGAAGACACGTCTCCCCAGGAATGATGTGGGGGGCATTTGTACCCTTGGGGAAGGAGGCTCTTCTCCCAACAGAGTCCCAGCACCAAATATAATATTTGTGTTATAATATCAAATGCTGATACATGTCGGCCACAGCTTCTATGGGCTCCCACTTTGGATAAGGCAGAGGAGTGGAGTGAGGTGTGGAGGAAGCTGCATCTGGGGCAGAATCTGACCTGGGGCCTCCTGGGAAGCCCTATCCTATTGTGAGCTCCCCCCCCCCCCCCCCCCCAAACTCCATACCACCAGGCCTGCGTCCCTGAAGAGTGTTTGGCCCTCTCCCACGTCAGTTCTGCAAATTCTGATAAAGAGTGTAGGGCCTACGGCCCAGGGACAGCTGCTGGGCATATCTGGACAGGTTTTCCGGCGTGGTTAGAGCAGCCTGAGCAGGCCGATTGCCCATTTCCGCTGCGGAGGCCATGCCGCTCGGCTCGGAAAGTCTTCTGCTTTAAGCGGGTGCTGGAGGAGGCTTTCCTCTTCTCTGCTTAACAGTCTCTGGATAACTGTCTTCCTTGAACCCCAACAAGGACCTGTTTGGGGTGGAGATGAGAGGTGAGGAGGGGGTCTCTGGTGCAAAGGAGCTCTGTCCTCTGCCCCAGACCCCTACCCTTCCCGCCCACCTTCCTCCAGACATCCTCCAAGTCTCTCTGGGGCGTTTCCCTCCCTCCTCTCCTACCAGCCACAGCGGCTTCCTCTCCATTCAGGTCTCAGCCTTCTGAGCTGCCGGCTGGTGCCATCTGGCCAGGTCCTCGCGCCCGCACCCTCACCTCGGGGCAGGGCCCGGAGGCGGCAGCAGGACTTTGAGGCTAAAGTTTCCCTTTCCCCCTCGGAGGCCGACCTGACCATCACTCAGTAGACAGTCTGATTGTTTTGTTTTATTCGGTTGTGTTTTTTCTGTTTGTTTGTGTTGTGTTGTTTCTCCTTGGCTGCAGGGGTGGGAGGAAGTATAAAGAAGTGTAAACAGGAAAGCCAGCCGGGCCTGGAGTTCCGAGGGCCCATATTTCATTGGCTTCCTCTCCATAACTGCAGCAGCCGGGACACTTAACCCTTCCCTGGCTGTGAGGAGGCATCCGCCGGGGGCTGGGGAGGCAGGGTGTGGGGAGGAGAGCCACGTTGGAAGCTCCTTTATGGCCCTTTATCCCTGGGGTCTGGGTGCTGGGGCGGACGGAAGGCCGAGGTTCAGAGCAGGGGAGAAGACAGGCAGACGGCAGCGGGGGCTGAGAGGAGAAGGCTCCTGCACTTCACAGTCTGGGGCCAACCTGGGCCAACCCCGGAGGCCAGTGCTGGCGAGAACCCCTCCCTTTGGGTAGGGGAGAGCCCACTGGTCACTCCCTTCATTTTGGGAGATTCTAGGAGTAATCAGATTTCAGGCCCGGATTTATTGATCACTGCAGCACTGTTACACATCCATATTAATTAACCCAGACACCGCCTCGAAACCCAGGAGGGGGAGGGGAGAAATTGGGGCTCCTTAGGGAGTAGGGACAAATCTCTCAAGGGTCCCTGGGGCCCAGATTGGGGAGTCATTCCCCCATAAGAATCCAATGGCCTTCCCCAGCTCAGTCCCTGCACTTCTCAGCAGGTATGAGACTTATTCTACAGTCGGACCCCACACCAAATCTCCTGGGGCGGCGGAGGGGCTGGGGGGGGGTGTAGGAATTAAACCTACCCCCAACCAGGCCCAACGGACTTTTTCCAGTCAGAGTTAGGGTGCCCCAGCCCCCGGATGGCTGGTTTATTTTTTGATACTTGTTCCCCTGCTTGGCCTTTATAGCGGGGTGAGTGCTCCTTCCCACCTTTTTTTTTTTTTTTTTTTTTTTTTCAATTTCCCCAAGGTAGAAGCTTTTTCTGGTCTGGAAGCTTGTTTTGTTTTCGTGTTTGGTCGTGGTGGTGGTGATGGC